GGCGTTTATGCATGAGTATTTTCCTCCATCGATGGTTGCAAAAATCAGAGCATCAATTCAAAATTTCCGACAGGCCCCGATGGAAACACTAGGTGAGGTTTGGGATCGATACAAAGGCTTCCGGAGAAAGTGTCCTGCACAGTTGATGGATGCTTATGACTTGATGTTATATTTCTACTATGGACTTCAAGTTGTAAGTAAAAAAGAGTTGGACCATTATTCAAAGATGGGTTCGTTTCTCGACATGACACCGAAAGAGAGTGAAACGCTCATGGAGTGTGATCTCAAGTGCTAAGAACTGGTACTATGAGACATAATCTTCTTCCGAGACTACATTTCAAGGGACCGAACAAATTTCAGCCCTCACGACAATAATTGACAACCTGGCAACTCAAGTGAAGAATCTCAGATCACAATCAAGTCAGGTAAATAAGCTGAGTCATTTCATGGAAGTTCAGGAAAGTTTGGTAGATGCTAGTACTGAAGCACCCACAATTGATGAAGAATCCATAGACCAGGGGTGGATATCTACGGAAAAGCAAAACTTAACGGGGCTGAAAAATGAGATATTTGATGAAGATGAAGAGATCTTTGAGCCAATTTCAGAAAATGTTGATGCGGAAGACATTTCATGCGAAAGTGATGTTGAAAATGGTGAACTTTTGAAACCATATCTTGCCGAATTTGATGAGGCATCTCACCCGGAGGAGGAATTTGAGATAATCGTGATTGCATCATGTAAAGAATTGAAGAAGAAAACTCCTGAGTTAATCAATGAAATTGAGGATCTCCTGGATCTACTTTTGGAGACTTTGGATGTGCAAGTTGACCAAGAAAATTCTGCATAGAATGAGAAAGAAACAAGTGTGGAGGAGGTCATTGACTTGCTCCTTGATGTACTTGATACTAGTACAAGGCTCCAAACTGTCCAGATTGAGGAGGAGGATCTAGATAATAAGGATGACTTTCCTTATTTTATTTTGCCATCTAGAAATGAGGAAGATGCACAAACCTTTGTTCTTGCTTGTGAGTTTTTGATGAAACAGAGGTGGTACACAAGAAGAGTCCCAAGGGTCAAGCTGTATGATCCAAGAGTTGGAAGGTGAAGGAAAAAGTGGACAAAAACGTCAAGCTAGTGACGTTAAAGAAGCGCTTTTGGGAGGCAACCCAAGTGTTAAAAAGGATTACAAAAATTCAAAAAAATAAAAAAAAATGCAAAAAAAAACAAAAAATAAAAAAATAAAAAACTGCACACAAAAAAAACAAAAAAAATATTTTTTTTCACTTGTTGTGTGTTTGTTTTAATTCACCATTATAATTTGTTTTCTTTAGTTTTTTTCAGGTTAATCACCGGAGTTCCCCGATGGGATTAAATTTTAACTTGTGCTTGCTCTTTCAAATCTTCTTCAATATTGAGCACAAGGGGAGTACTTCTTTTTTCTATCATTTTTTTTCTTCCATTTGTGTTTATTTGTGATTCATCTTAAGTGTGAGGAGGGTACTTTTGAAAAAAATTGTTTATTTACCCTGTTTCATTTTGATTTTATTTTGAGACCTCGAGGACGAGGTCTATTCTCCAAGTGTGAGGAGGGTTATGAACAGGGAAATGGGCTGATCTAGTGTGCATGACAAGAGGCTCAGGTGAACTAAGTTAAGATCAGTAATAAGCTAAGGTAAAATCTACTTTAACTATTTTTTTTGAAAGTTTTGTTATAACTAATCTTTTTATTACCATTATACTTTTAAAAAAATCTTTGAATATTAGTAGATATGCTTGATTTCTACTTTGAAGTTGTGTGCACAAGTTTGGATTTTTGGTTTGAATGGTTGTTCGGTCTTACTTTCTTTTCATGGATATATACAATGCTCCTTGGTTAGCTTAAAATTTAAATTCTTTGGATTAGGGAGAATTCTATCCTCAAATGAGGCTCTGCTTTTAGCATTTGATAGAATATCTTTCGCTATTCTGGTTGTACTTGATTATTGATTTGAGAAGTGTCTTCGTTAGGAGTCTCATCTCCAAGAAGGGGCGCTGCTCTTCTCATTATCGTATTCTGCGAGAGTTGAGTATATTTTATATATTTTATGAGATAGCCCCACAAATCGATGATTTCGTTTAACCATAAAATTCATACCAACTTGGCTTGGTTTATAGCTCCCCCGAGATCATCCCAAAAAAAAGAAGAAAAAAAATGCTAGGGGAGCTAAAACTATTTTTAGAACTGGAGCTTGTGTGTATTTCATGTCTATTAAGGATGACTGAAGGGTTCTGAATGTGAACGTTGACTTGTGCTCATAACTACTTAGTAGTGGTTTTTGCATATATGCTAGTATTAAAAGATTTTTAATTAGTATGTTGTGTCATAAAAGTTGAGTTATTACTGTGCTTTCAGGAAAATATAGTTAGGTAGATTGGAATCTTAGTCTATTAATGGTTGAATCTAAGTGATCTTGAGTCCTTGAGTTGTGCACCATAAACAGTTTGCCTTGAAAATATGTTGGGATCTGATTTGTTGCTTAAGGGAAAGCAACGCTTAAGTGTGAGGAGATTGATAAGTCTGATTTGTTCATATATTTTCACTCACTTTTTATAGCGTGTTTTGTCAAACTCGGGGCAAATTGAAGCATTTTTCTGCGTTTTTGTTGCATTTTTGTTAATGTTTGAAATTAATGCTGAAATTTACATTTTTGAGAGATTTGTGTTTAATTCTAGTGATTGGATTGATTTTTGTGTTTTTTTCCACTAATTTTTACTTTTTTATTTTGTGATTTGTTATATTTGAATTTGATTTCTTTTAGTGCAATAAATAAATGAATTAATGAAAAACAAACAAAAAAATTATAAAACCCCCCAAAAATGCAGCAAGTCTGCGTTACAAAAAACCCAAGCAAATAAAAGAAAACAAAAATAAAGAGAAGGAAGAGAAACAAAAAAACAAAAGATATAAGAGGGAGTCGGCCAAAACAAAACATGAGAAGGATGGGGAGTCCCATCTTTAAACCAAGAGAGAAGAGATGACAATGGGCAGCTGGTTATCTAATTAATAGCCAAAGAAAAAAATAGGAAGACACTTCCTACTTGCTACTTGTCGGCAGTAGAAAAAAAAGAACATTCAGCCGCAAAAACAATTCACACCCCCGATCAATGCTGCGGCAACAACTCCAGAAGAAGAATGTAGATCCAATTGCCAGGGAGGCACCACTTGACAGCAAGAAATAACAACACCAGAAACAACTGAAGGAAACAAAAAGAGAACGCAGCACTAGCAATAAGCTAAGACCTTAGAGTTTCATATTTCTATTTTCAATTCACCAATAATCTTTTGAAATAGTACTTTTTGTGGATTCTTACTTGCAAAAGTCTCAAGTCTAAGATGTGATTATGAATTGGTATTTATTTTGAATTTTAGAATAAATCATGTTTGTGGATTACCCTAGCTCTTTCGTTAATTGTCTTAATTTCTTGATAAATATGCTAGGGTAATTCTCCATGGGGTTTGGATTTGGATAGAATTTAGGTTAATGGGTGTTCTTGAATTTTGAGTTGAATTTGGGAAAATTCTCTAATTTTTAGAACTAGTTGTTTGAGATGAATTGAAAGAGTAATTTGTGAAATTGATCACTTCACTTGTGAATTTTTGGAAAATTAATTCTTTCTTGTCTATGAGTTTAGAATTAATTTTAGCTCACATCTCACACACCCTAAACTAAGCATAGAAATAGGACATGTTAGGGCAATTAATATTAATTTCTTGTCTATGAGAATTGATATTTAGTATCTTTAGATTAGTGAAAATTTCCCATTTTGTTCATAATCAAAGACACCCAAGATCCTTTATTCCAAATATAGACCCCACTTTTAATTAGTTAATTTATCGTTACTAGTCACATTGAATTTACCTTTTAAGTATTTTATTTTCGAAACTTTACTCATCCACATGTTTGCTAGTTTAATATTTTTAATTAGTTAATATTCTCTCTCAAGTTATTTTGCATGTTCACTAGTTTTAGTTTACTCATTAATGTCATTTAATTAAATTCTCCGCTACTACTTTTGTTGTTTAATATTATTTACTTAATCATTATCACAATTAATCGTTTGAGAAAGCTTGCAACGATTCATACTAGCCGATGACCGATATTGAAACCAACACTTCCCTCCGCCACTCCTCAGAGACACAATACTCGGGGAAAAATCGAAAGGTTAGACTCCGTTTTACAACAACGCCGTGAAAGCGGTCATCACTTATCAGGCTTGTATCCAACTTTTTTCAACTAACACATAACTTTTGTGTAATAATAAGAAAAAGTAAGTTTGTAGTTATTTTTTCTGGATTATTAGCTGAAATTACTGTAGATGATCATTATAATTGTTTTTGCATATAATTTTTTATTCATTTTCTTAAGCAACTATATTACTCCCTCCGTCCCAATTTGATAGTCTCATTTCTTTTGAGTAGAAGTTTTAATAAAGTGGTTGAAAAAGTAAAAGTTGTGGTTGAGATTTGAGTATAATAAAGTGAAATGATATGAACCACATCTTTCTTTCCAAAAAGGGAAAATGACCATCATTTTGGGACATCCCAAAAAGGAAATACAGGACCATCATTTTGGGACGGAGGTAGTATAATATATAATTTTTTTATAAATGAACAAAATTAGCCAATAAAATCACTTAGATCAGAACATCATAAATTTCAACGGAATTAGTTACTGCAATCAGGGAGTGTTTGGATTTGATTTTTAAAACTGTTTCTGCTGCTTCAGAGAGCAGAATCAGAAGTTGGAGTGTTTGGGTAAAAGTGCATAAGTGATTCTGGTGCTCTAACTTACTCCTAGAAACAGTTTTTTTAGAAACTGAAGGTGACCAGCTTCTGAAAATTGATTCTGATTCTGCTTCTACTTTAAAAAAGAAGCAGAATCAAAATCAATTCCAAACACTCCTCAATTTGGTTACTATCTAATGGGCTCGCCTGGTTTGTCTATCACTAATTCGGTCTGAGAATACTAGGCATAGAAAGCCTAACGTATCCGGCCCATCCATGCATCGAAACCCTAATCGTCCCAAGCTAGGTTTTACACTTGCTGTCATGGAGCAGTAGTATATAAACGAAGAGTTCTGCCTTTTCTTCTATTTCTCGGCCACCACACTTGTGATCAAAGCGAAAACCTGATTAACACAGTAAAACGAAAATGGCTCAGGAATGTCTCGTCCTCCGCGGAATCATGGAGGGCCACACCGATTGGGTCACGGCTATCGCCACCCCCATCGATAACTCCGACACCATTGTCACAGCTTCTCGTGACAAATCTCTAATCTTGTGGAACTTAACCAAGGATAGCCCACAATTCGGCGTCGCTAAACGTCGCCTTACCGGCCACTCGCACTTCGTTCAGGACGTTGTTCTTTCCTCTGATGGCCAGTTCGCGCTTTCTGGCTCTTGGGACGGCGACCTCCGCCTGTGGGATCTTCAGACAGGAAATACCGCCCGCAGATTCTTCGGTCACACCAAGGACGTACTTTCTGTGGCATTCTCCGTTGATAACCGTCAGATTGTTTCTGCTTCCCGTGATCGGACAATCAAGCTTTGGAACACTCTCGGCGAGTGCAAGTACACCATCCAGGAAGTTGATGGTCATGGCGATTGGGTCTCCTGCGTCCGTTTTAGCCCTAACAATCTCCAGCCTACTATTGTTTCTGGGTCATGGGATAAAACCGTGAAGGTTTGGAATTTAACCAACTGTAAGCTTCGCGCTACTCTTGCGGGGCACACAGGTTACGTGAACACTGTTGCCGTATCTCCAGATGGCTCATTGTGCGCAAGTGGTGGAAAAGATGGAGTTATTCTGCTGTGGGATTTGGCCGAAGGGAAGAAGCTGTACAATTTGGATGCTGGATCCATTATTCACGCTCTCTGCTTTAGCCCTAATAGGTACTGGCTGTGTGCTGCTACTGAAGCCAGCATTAAGATTTGGGATTTGGAGAGCAAGAGCATAGTTGTTGATCTCAAGGTGGATCTCAAGCATGAGAGCGACATGTTTTCTAAAGGACCTGCACCTGCCAAGAATAAGGTCTGTCTTCTTCATTGTTGTTCTCTATTATATGTGAAGTTCCGTTGTTTTATTTGGCAATACGATTCTGATCTGAATAGTGATCAGATCATAGATGATTTAATGTACACACTTGTTCTTCCTCTGATCATGTGTTCATGCATATTGATTCATGATAGGAACCAGTTAATTCATACTTAAATTTGATCTGAAACGTAGAACTCACAAGGCCAGATCTAATAGCATCAAATCAAATAAAACTTAGTTGACTCATCATCTAATGTTATTTGTAACCCATGCAGTTGTTGTTTGTAATCAAGATGTGTATGTAATCATATGATCTCCTAAGTGCACCTTCTAGTGTGTGTATATACCTGGAATAGGTTCTGTGTTTATTTTTTCTAACTTTTTAGCACATTTAATTTCTACTCATTAGAGGTGCCTGCCTTCACCAATTGGCCTTATTTAAAAAATTGTACAGGTCTGACATACCTGGTAATTAGTGAGTTGCTATCAAAGTTTTACATGTTCATTTTTGAGGATGATATCCAAAAACAGCCCCTTGGCATAGAGATGAAACTTGAAAACTAGTTTGTGCTTAGAACCTTTCCCGATAAAGACAAACAAGAAATATGTAACATTATGAATATGGTCCTGGCTTCATTTTTATGGTTAGGAATGGTACATTATCAATACTATTTCGTGAATTTTTCTGAAAGCCTCTACTAGATTGTGACCTGTGTTATGATTTGCCTGGTGGTTAACACTTTACCACTAAAATGTGTATTCCTGCTCCATTTTTTATCATAGTCAATCATTTTTACCAAAACAACACACTAAGCTTTGCTTGGTTGATCATTATTGAGAACTTAACCTTTGCCAGAGAGAAATTACCCCCTCCCCTAATTTTTTAGATGTAATTCTTTCTTAATAGTTTGGAGTAACTTTGTAGTCCAATTTTTGCTGATTATGAGTATAATCTATCTCCATCATAATCTCATTAAGTTCTGCATATATGCATTGTCAACCATAAATTTACTCTTGTGACAAGTGACGTATGTTGTATGCTTAATTTTATGCTTTGCAGGTGATATTCTGCACAAGCTTGAGCTGGAGTGCTGATGGTTCCACACTTTTCAGTGGATATACAGATGGTGTCATCAGAGTTTGGGGCATAAGTCGTTACTAGACTGGCAAGTATATTAGGGCAACAAAAAACCATTTGGACATGGTTGTTATTTAAATCTTCCCTGTAGTTTTTTTTTTTTTGTTGTTGCACGAGTATTTCGATCTTTCTTCTTTTGCTTTGCTCATGTGTTTTGACAACTGAAATGTTTTTTTGGATCGTGACTATTATTTTACATTTGCCAGACCTTGAGTTCATGTGTTAACTTTTCAGTAACCCGTCCATTTGCTTGCTCAGCTTTTGGGCATGATGGCTTCTTAACTTCAGTGCTATGAACAACTATATTACTCTCTTAAGATATTTTAACACTACTTTTAACTGATTCTGCGTGTTATATTTATAAGTGATGCTGTTTTTTAAGTGGACGGTTTAATCCAGTTCAAGATTTAGACACGATTCATCTATTTTCAGTTTGCCTTAAACATACCAGGCTCCCAGCTGTTACTCCCCAGTACATTCCTATGTAAATATCTAATGAGTAATGATGTTTTTTGGTCATTGACTGTTTCACAAATTGCATTATCAGTAATAAGCAGTCAGAGCCCTAACATGAAAGCTAGTTGTAACTAGGGGTGGACCCGGGCTGGTTCTGGGCTGGGCCTAGGCCCTGGTGGTTTTTTTGGAATATTGGACCTGGAACTGGCCCGGGTTGATATTGGGTCCAGGCCAAACTGGGCCGGGCTGGGCCTGGTAACCCTGGTTCTATGTAAGTTTTTTAGCTTTCTAATTAACCCCGACCGGGTCTGGGCCAAACCAAGTCTTGCGTCCAGCTAGGTCTCTTTTGATTCTGGAGTAACTTAGGCTCCGAGGGGAAATGATTCATCAATTCTAACCGGCTAAATTGATTTTGGTTGTGGCGACAAATAAGTGAAATAACCTATTGATTCCCATCTGTTTTTTATGTTTCGTAATGTAGCATTTTAGCGGAAAGTCAGGAACCATTAGTTAGTGGTCCTAAATTCTATTTAGGATGTTTTTATTTGGACTATTAGGTTTGTTTTTTCTGGTCTGTTTTAGTCTGGTAATCTGGTCTGAAATTTTATTTTTTATATTTTTTGAATAAAGATTTTATTTTTTATATATATTATAATTATAATTCATTAATAATTATTTTATTTATTTATAATTAAAAATAATAATATTTCTTCCAAATTATCGAAAATTGTTATCGTTTTACTTGGACTAATTTCAATCCCAGACCGAAGCAGATTAGACTAGATCATACAAATACAGAACAACTCAAACTAGACTAAACCATATTAGACTACATTGGATTAGTCAAAATTAAAACATGATACAAGATAAAATAAGGCAATTGGCCCAGTATACTCACATAGTCACACGTATATATAAATTGTTGCAAGGGTAGGATTCCTGTGCCTGCTATTGTGCTCGGAATCGAACCGGCCCGTTACTGTGTGGGCCTGGACCGGCCCGCTACTGTGTGGGCTTGGACCGGCCCGGTGAACTGATTGGTTGGCCGGTTCGGGCCACCCGGCCCGGTGGGATGGCGGTTCAGGCTCGGGCCCTTCAAAAGGTGAACTGGTCCGGACGGTTCGGGCCCGGGTCGGGCCAATTTTTTTTTTTTTGATTTTTTTTAAGTTTTTGGGTTGGGCTGGATATTTTGGGCCATTTGAGGTGGTTAGGGTTGGTTTGGGGGTGACACGAGGGTTGGGGGTTAACTAGGAAAAGCCAAAAAAAAAAAATAGAATCGAGGCCCGGTGTGGCCCGCCTGGCCCGGACTCGGGGGTTACCCGGGTCGGTTCCGGGCCTCCCCTTCATGAACTGAGGCTCGGCCGGACCCGAACCGGAACCGGTCCATCCCTAGGTAGGAACTTACGCACGATCCCTAGTAGTGTGGATTCTCTACGTTGGCTTTCTCCATATCATCTTTCTTCATGTAACTATCTTTCACCATGATTGCATGCTCTCAATTTCAATTCTCTTCAAATTGAATTTCAGAGCATCACACCACATATATACGTATGTGATTGTACATGACTGTTTCTTATAGTGCTTAGGGAATTCTACCGGGGTTTCGTATATAGTACATGAGTGTTCCGTATATATATATATATATATATATATATATATATATATATATATATATATATATATATATATATATATATATATATTTGTATAGACATATAATTAAAAATATTATCATATATAAGTACTTTACTTCAATTAATTATGAAGTTATAATTATGTATTATTTTAAAATAAATTATAGACAATGTCAAAGAGGACACCTTGGTGAACAAAACGTAAACAGAAATACTAAATATGATTGGAATAAAATTGTAAACAATCTTCATGCACAAATGGGTGCTCTTTTTAATTGTAAGAAAGCGCGAAATCATTTTAGTGAGTTGAAAGATAAATATAAAACATGGGTCGACCTTCAAAATTGCACTGGCATTAATTTTGATCCACTTACGAGTGAAGTTCAAGTAGAAGAACATTCCTTAGATAGATGGAAAACATATCAAGAGGTAAAAATGCACTTGCCTTTTTCTTTAATTTCAAATTCTATTCTCTAAATAAAAGTTATTTACTAATATTATTTAATTGTATTATTAAATATAAATATAAATATATCTTTTAGAAACATAAGCGACATGGAGCTGCAGTTGCTAAAAAGCAGATGCCATATCTTCAGTACCTAGAAGCTTTATTCCAAGGACAGACTACACATGGTGTACGAGGTAGCTCACCTGGTAGCGCTAGGACAACACCCATTCTCAATAGTAATGTCGCCGTCCGAAAGTCTCCGAACATAAACATCGAAGAATCTTTTAATACTGGTAGTGATATTTCAGATGAAAATGAAAGTCATTATACAGTTTATGGTGAAAAAAGTGATTCACCTATTATGGTAGATCAATCATCCGCATCAACTAAGAAGCCAAAGGGAAAAAACAACGTAGGTGAAAGCTTAGCACGAAAGCGAGGGGAAATAAATAGATGTTTAGAAATCATGAAGCTTGCTTCTGCAAAAGAGCGATCTGTGATCGAAAAGGTGGCTAAACTTCTTGATGAGATGGAGGCTGACAAGAAATACGGTGATCAATATTATGTGGATGCTATGACCTTCTCAAGTGAAGGTAATAAGGGTGAGGTCTTTGTGACACTTCGATCTGAAAATCATAGGCGGATGTTCCTACAGAAAGGAGTTCCTTACGGCAATCAAGATTGTTATATCCCGAGGGCTGCATATTTTACTTATGATGTGTGATATTTATTTTCAGCATGCTAATTATTTTGTCTATTCGTTTTGAACTTTTTCTATGTTTGTTTGAACTAAAAGTATGTGGATTGTTATCTTTTACAAACATCTCATGTTATCGTTGTTATAGCATGTGTTTACCATTTGTTTTTATGTGCATTAGAAATCATTATTTTACTTGTGTAGAATGAGTGTTGAAGTTAGACGGTCATGTCTAATTATTTCATTAGAAGAGCTCAGATCATTACTAGAATATGATGAACAAAAGAAGACTAGGATACCAATGAGAGTATGTGGAGAAACGAGAGGTGAATATATACATAGAATGTTGAATGGTCATCCTGGATTGTGTAAAGAGTAATTAAGATTGATGAGAGAAATGTTCATCCACCTTGTGAATATTATAGTTGAAAGAAATTTATTGAAAGACATCAGATTCCTTCATGTGGCAGAGAAAATTGGAATTGGTCTCTATATATTGGCCAAGGGAGCTTCTTACACAGATGCAGCTGATGTTTTTAAGCATTCTTTGAGAATCATATGCAAATATTTCAATCTAGTATTGCATGCATTGGTTGAGTTATCTTTTGACATAATTCGACCACATCACAATTTGTTGGACGTCCACACCACAATTTTCAACAATTCCTTATATTGGCCGTATTTCAAGATATATTTATGAATTATTCAACGTTTTTAAAAGTCAATGAAAACTAATTTATTTTTGTATATGTGAGACTTTATTTATGTTTTTTATTTATCGTATTAGGATTCAGTTGGAGCATTAGATGGTATTCTCATAGAAGCAGTTATATCAGATGCAAATGGGGTGTCGTTTCGAGGACGCAAATGAAGCAAAACCTGGAATGTCTTAGCATGTTGTTCATTTGATAAATTATTCACGTTTGTCAATATTGGTTGGGAAGGAAGCGCTCACGACGTAAGAGTGTGGGTTGATTCCTTAATGCAATCAAAATATCATTTTCCTCATCCTCCATAAGGTATAAAATACAAATAAATTTATTAAAATAGTATCCTTTTAACAAAGTCAATTTAAAATGTAGGTAAATATTACTTAATAGATGCAGAAATGAGGAAAAACATGCCAGAATTTCGTGCTGGTGGTAAACCAAGAGGAGTAATGGAACATTTTAATTATCGCCACTCATCACTGAGAACTACCATTGAAAGAGCATTTTCGCATCTGAGGAAATGATGGAAGATACTTCACAATATGCCCAAAATGAAAGAAGAGCGCAACATCAACAAGGAATTATTTTATCTACTTTTACACTTCATAATTTTATCAGCATGTGCAAAATGGGAATGCCAATTTATGAACATGAAGGGAATGGAGAAGGCATGGTTGATTCAGATATGTTCAACAATGGGAGAAAAGAAGCTATGAACAATGTTCGCGTAGAAATTTGGAAACAAATTTGGGAAGACGTTCAGAAACCTAGAGCAACGGATTCATGATGATATTTATTATTTTATAGTACTTTTTTTTGGTTCTAAAAAGATTTATAGCTTACCCATTATTCATACATTTTTTTTTACAAATCAAGATTTTATTTATTTATTTATTTATTTATTTTTATTTCTTTGTTTTTTACAAATCAAGATCATCTATATTATTCTATCACTTGTATGTCTTAAAATATGAACAGACTAAACCAAACAATAATAAAATAGTACAAGTATTAATAATAACAACAATAGCAATACTATTACTACTGCTGCTGCTACGACTACTACTACTAATAATAATAGTAATAATAATAGTAATAATAGTAATACTACTAATAATAATAATAATAATAATAACAATAACAACAACAATAATAATAATAACCTTATGTGGAGGCAGGCCGTTATATATATAGCTGTCTTGAGGCAGGCCGTTTGTGTATCCTTTCTTGAATAGTTGTCCTTCCAATTTTGGGTCTTGCTTTGATATTTGAATTGCTTTCCTTTCATGGCTTAGATTATTTTTTGCAAAGATATGCTCTTAAATATTTGCATAAGTAAGGAAGAGTATGGAAAATAACCTTGTTTAATATGACATATATTAAAAGATATTAACCATC